GACAACACTTGTTGTTGCTGCAGTTGTTTCAATTGTCGAGTTAGCTTATTTAGAGGCAGCTGCTGCTGCTGCATGTAGGCCGTACGCCCATTGCCCATAAATCCATAAATGGCATTGTAAATGTTGTTTTTACGTTTTTTGTAATATTAATTCCACTGTTTGTTTCTTTTATTTATTTTTTTTTTTTATTTATTTTTGCGACGTGCTTTCAGCACAGTTGCTGCCTGCCTGCTGGCCGCGCCTTATTTGCCTAAATTGCCAGCACGGTAGCGGACTTTAACACTGCAGTGGCTCTCAAACTGCGCTGCACACAATCCTCGCAAGCGCAGCGTTGGCTGTGGCTGGAGGGAGTGGGGGCGTACCACACGACAAATATTATTTAAGGCCCACACACACACACACACACACACACGCACAACAACAAAAAATCAACTAATTACATAAAAACAACTTATTTATTATATGACCGTAATTATATGCAACTATATATCCAATATACTCGTAGTTCATAGATCTTATCACCCCCTAACACACACACACACACGCACACACACACGCAAACGCGCGCTTACATACACTCGTCTATACACACGCACGTTTGCCCGAAGAGCAGAAGCTGAAAATGCGGCCGATCGCAGAACGCGTAGAAAAACAACTAAAAATGCCAACTGAAAAATCATAACAAATGAGCGGTAAAGCGGCCCCAGCCCCCCTAATACCCCTTCGCAACCGCTGCACCGACCCCTCCCTCTGGCCAAGCAGTGCGCGGTGAGCGCATGAGTAATTGTAAAGTGAGCGAAGGTCTACGTCTGCGTGTGTGTGTGTGTGTGTGTGTGTGTGTGAGAGTTTCGAGTGGGATTTTAAGTCGGTGTGCTCGCGTCTGCATGTGTGTGCATGTGCGTGTGTGAGTGTGAGCCAAGTTTGCAGCCGTTGCTGTCGTTGTTGTTGTCGTTGTCGTTGTCGTCGCTGGCCCAACACAAGCACAAGGCAGCAGCAACAACAAGAGAGCTCGCAATGTGTGAAACAAAATGCGATGATTTTTGCTGTTTATGTGTGCGTGTGTGTGAGTGTGTTAATACGTTAATGCTCCTACCACAAACACACACCATACACACACACGCTGTCATCGTTGCCAACAGTCGTATAAATAAAAAGCAAAAAAAAAAATAAATATAAATAAATTGTTTAACTAATTTGCGTACTTGGGGCGAAAATGCCGCAAAGCACAAGCCAAATCAAAGTAAAAAAAAAAACAACAACAACAACAACAACGGTTGAAAACAACAACCCCAAAGCAGCAGTAAGCAAATGGTTTACATTTTACAGTTAACAATGGGTCAATACGCACTGTCACAAATATACCCTAGAATTAACGAGAAGCCCCATTGCTCGATTGGTATTCACTTCCGTTTGCCAGGTAAAACCAAAAAACGTTTGCATCCGGCTAGTGTGTGTCTGGTGGGGAGTGCGTGGCTAAGGAATACCCTGTACAGAAACCCCAACATCTCTCGTAATCAACAGGGCATAAGGGCAACGTGCAACTGTAGACAGCAGAAGAAGTCTTCGAAGCAAAACTGGGTATCTTCCAGTCGTGCACTCTCGCATTAGCTAATTGTAAATGTTTCTTTCAGCCGGACACTCCTGCTGATCTTCGGTGCGCTACTCTCGACTCTATCTACTGGAGGACTGGTATTCACCTCTCTGGACATCAGCTCACCTGCTGATTACCTGTTTGTAAAGTTGAAATTTTAGTTTAGACAAGGCAGTTATTATTAGTATGCCAAGCGATAAAAGTTCCAGGGAATACTGGACCGAGACGCGTTCAAATTGTATTCAAAGTTTTTGAGCTTAAGAAGTTTCATCATGAACTGCAGCAAATTGAAGCCGATTCTGGCGACATTGGGCGGCTACGGATCCCTATTGATCGTAGTCGTTGCTGCCATACTTGGCAAGCTTTGGAAGTTGCTTAGCAAGATATACATATTTTTAATTCTATTCTCAATCACCTTGGGTATTTTGATGTACATTGTTCAACAACACCTCAAGAAGTATCCCCGGAGCCCCGAGATAGTCCGTGAGCTATACACAAACAACGTCGTGATGGCCCTGATGCTGACCCTCTTGTACTATTACTTCTATGAGGGTTATATGCTGATCTATTCTCAGAATCCAGTTGAGCATATTGCCAGACGTCGTTCGCTTTTCTTGTTCTTTTTGTAATCCCCAAAGGAACTGCACTGAAAGTGCTCCCGGCGTGCTTTCTTTTGGCTTATTACCAGTTCCAATTAGTTAAATAAATCAATTAAAAAGTTGCGCAATATGCACTAGAAGAATCTACTATACTATGCACCCTTCCAAGGAGTTTGGTTTAGTACAAAACCAAATGGTTATGATTAAAAGCGATTACTTCATTTCATTCAAGCTTATTTGTTCCAATACGAGTTGTTGATTGAGATAAATAGTCTTAGATTACGACTGGAAAGTGGTCTTGTGGGATCAGCTCAAAGCTGTCAAAATAGTTCATTTCGACCATAAATCAGACTCTCTCTCCCTCCCTCTCTCTCTCTCTCTCTCTCTCTCTCTCTCTCTCTCTCTCTCTCTCTCTCTCTATTCCAGTACAGTTTGACTGTTCGCTTGAGTGACTCTTCAAATGTTTGTTTAGCTTTTTAATTAATTGCACATTAGGCGCCTTTGCTTCCCCGAATACTTGAAGCTGTTGTTTAGCAAGTGGATTGTGGGCCCCCTCTTGTTTCCAACCACAACTCCCCCTCCCACACACACACACACACACACACACACACACACAAACACACGCACACACGCACAGGCACACGCACACAAATCGCTTTTGGCTTGATAGTATAATTATTTCTTGCAAATTTGCTCCGCTCAGCGACACATGCGCAATGTCTCACCCCTCATCTTTGCGGCACACATTGCCCCTGCCCCGCTGATTGGGGCCAAAGAAACGCCAACACAATTGAATACTTATTATTTTAGTGGTCTCTGCACATCCTTCCCGTTCCCTTCCGCATTTAATTCAAAGTGCGGCACCCAGAAAAAGTTGTTGAATTGTTAACTTTTATTGACGGTTCCCAGTTCCCGCTTGCCTCCCCCCCTTGCACCTTTGAGGCCTTTTAAGTGACCAGGCCTCTCTTGCAGTTGCATTGTCTTTGGCCGGTTAAATTTGTAATAGTTTTCCTAGCCAGTTTAGAAGTCTTTCACGATATGCGGTTTGAAAAGCACTGGGCCGATTGGTCAATGCCCAGCCGGAGAACCGCAATAAAATCAGCAGCAGAAGCAAAACCTGAAAGCGAGCGCCGAACCGGAAGCGTTGCCATAGCTGCCGTCAACGGCATTGTCGTCCATTGTCGTAGTCCAAACAAAGGTGCTATCAGAATGCGAAGGGGAAGTGCTGTGCGGGGGGCGGCAAGGGAAGGTCTGGCCGCTTGAGCGGGTGACAAACCAAAAGGTAGACGGAGCTGCAATGTGCGCGGCGCGGCGCGGTGCGGTGCGACATGCGGAACTGCTGCCACTTGCTGTGCATGTCAATGACGCCATGCACTCAACTGTGACGATGTTCAATTTCTGAATTGCAGGTTATGTGCATAGTTTGACAGCAACTGTAGCGAACAGACACAGACACAGACACAGACAATGTGTGTGTGTGTGTGTGTGTGCACAAAGAATCTTCACATTTTTGGTTTGTTTAGCTTGTAAAGAAGTGTGAATGGAGATATTTCAGAAATACCCAATGCATAAATCGTTAATAGTCAGTTACATTAAATTGTGGGCTTAAGCGAGTTCCCCATCTTTAGATACATATTTCAGTTTTATACACATTGAAAATGAACAAAAAAGAAATACCAAAACACAGTTCTATACCTTGTGGGCAAAATGGGGGACATGTACAAACTATGCGAGCACCTTGCAAACCTAAAATAAATCTAAATCTTTAAGAATCTCCGATATATATTTAAATAAACTTGTTTCAAAATTGATATTTATCTATACAATGAAAGCGCCTCGATGCTAGCGTACTGGCTTTTCTTCAATAACCTAATATATATATATTTCCAGCTTGAAGTCTCGAGCTTTTATAATTTGGTCAAAACTAATATGCCAGTTTTATACCCTGAACCCATTAAAAATGGGTTATAGGGTGTATTGTATTTGTGCGAAATCCAAATGTATGTAACAGGCAGAAGGAAGCTTCTCCGACCCCATAAAGTATATATATTCTTGATCAGCATCAATAGCCGAGTCGATCTAGCCATGTCCGTCCGTCCGTCCGTCCGTCCGTATGTATGAACGCAAGGATCTCAGAACCTATAAGAGCTAGAGAAATTTTAGATGTAGGTGCTCCTAGTGCCTGCGCAGATCGAGTTTGTTTCCGATAATCGATAACTTACTCCGTTTCCAAGCAATCGATAAAAATCGATATCGATATACTGTTTTTTGGGCAATTTTAGTAAATAATAAGAGCTAGAGTCACCAAACTTGACATATAGCTTCTAAAATATAATATATATATGCAGTTGATGTTGGAAGAAGAGGGTTCAGGGTACCCCCTAGTCGGGAGCTCCCGACTAGAACCGCTTACTTGTTTTAAATTTATTTGGTGTTGGAATAAGGGGGTTCAGGGTATTCCCTAGTCGGGAGCTCCCGACTAAAACCTCTTACTTGTTATTTATTTTCAATGGGTATAGGCAATATTTGGATATCAGCTTTTCATACTGTTAATGAATATAAATTCCCAAATGTTTTGTTTGGAATCACATAAATTTTCGATATTTTCGGTTGGTCAAAGCTAAAATCGAGGTTTGACAGCTACGCATTGGGGTTTGAGAGTCACATGTTGTGACACACATATATTTTCCATAGCCTAACAGGCAGGCGCAAAGCGAAATTCAGCGGAACTGCGTGCGGCATGCACACATACATATGTACATATGCATGTATCTGTATATTTCTATGGTAACTGGGAAATGGTCACTCACCTGATATTTTCTTATGCTGTCCAGCTGCTCTAATGTCGGCGCCACAATTTGCGCTATTTGCTGTTGTTGTTGTTGTTGTTGCTGCTGCTGCTGTTGTTGCTGGGTGGCAGCACCGCTGCCATTGCCGGGCATGCGACGATCTGGCAACTGTGGCGCGGGGGCGCAGTTAATGAGTCGTCCATCCTTCTCAATACGCAGATGATCACGAGGCGGCGGCAAGGGCTTGGCGTTGCCATTAAGCTGCATTCGATTGTGTGTGTGTGTGTGTGTGTGTGGTAGAAAGTGTGAGAAAAGGAGAGCGAGAGAAGGAATAGAGCATATATTGAGAGAACGATTAGTTGAGATTTTAACAGTTTTTTTTTCAGTTCTTTCTGTATGACTATATATATGCATTAATGTATGTGTTGGTGTGCGCTTGTGTGTGTGTTTATGTGGCTGTGTGTGTGTGTGTGTTTCAGTTATGCACGTGTGTTGTTGCTGATGTTATTTTTGTTGCTGCTGTTGCCGCGGTTGTTGCTGCTGTCGTTGTTGCTGTTGGTGTTCTTATTCTTGTTGTTTATTATATTGCAATTTGCAGCGAGACTAACGCCCCTCCCCTCCCCTCCCCTCCCCTCCCCTCCCCACCCCACCCCACCCCTCCCCAACGCCCCCCCCGACACTCCAGCAAAATAGCCACCATTCAGTTAACAGCAAGCAACTGTGAAGCATGTGATGCGATTTTTAGGAATATGAATATAAACAATCTTTTACGTCTGCGCTTCTTTGTGTTATTCTTGTGATTTATAGAATATGTATAAACGAGTATTTGTTTATGTTCATGCAGTTGGCCTTTGATTCATACGATTCATTTGCATTGTCGAATCGTTTATTCTGTTGCGCCCATTGCCCCGCCCTCAACTATTTATCAGCCAACTAAGGGAGAGCCCCAACTAGCGAGAAGACCCTTGAGCAACCCCCTGGCAAAATTTATCGCCAACGATTTTTATATATATTACTCAAGGGTTTGTTTTGTTGTTGTTCTTGGTATATTGCAAAAATACACACACACACACACATACACACACACAGACACACAGACACACACACACGCACACAGACAAATTAAGCTACAAAGGTGGTTGGGTGGCTTATGGGCGTGGTCTTGGCAGAGCTTAGGATTATGTTGCTAACGAGGGCAGCGCAACATCGTGGCAACCGAGGGAATTAGGCCAGCGTCAGCTGAGACGCGACGTGGCAACAACTGCCAAGGGGTTGGGGTCACCCAGGAAGGAATTAAATCAAAAAGCCATAAAAGGGGAAAGGCAGACAGCAAGAGTGGGGGCGACTGGAATACCATCTGGATACCATAGCACTAGAGCATAGGGCAAGTGAGAAGCGGCCTATAATTAACAAATGCAACCGCTTTGCCCGAGCTGAAGACCGACAAACTGCAAGAAAAAGCAGAGGAAACCTACTTAGAGTCAGAACACCCTACACAATTTGAGCTTATGGCATTTTTCAAGCCATACGTAGCCTTTATTGTTTTCCTATTCTTTAACTTTGCCTGTTTTTTTCTATTTTGCAAGAAGGGAGTATTTGCAATTAATGTGACTTTCATTCCATTTTTGCAAGAACCAAGAAAAAATTGATTCAGACTATGGATGCAAACATTTGAATATATATATAAAGTTTGGACCAACTCTTTTGATAGAAATGCAATTACATCCTATTGATTATATGATCCTGGAATACTCTTTTAGGTTGATTTAAAGGGTAACAGCTGTGAATAGAGCATAGCGTATTCGGTTAAATGCGACTGCAATAATTTGGACTTAAATGAATAGTAGAAACTATAACTAGTTAAAAAGATTGATAGAAATTACGAAAAATGTAATAGTTAATTTAAGTTCTTGCCATGGTCCATGTATCTATAAATAATTAAACTGATTAACGGCAATTCTTTGTTTTCTGCATATGACAACGCTATGTGGAAATTGTGAATGGGTTAATGAAAAAATGTGCGGAAATTGCAGCGGTAAACGTAGCGAGTTGTCGCTGCTGCTGCCCGTTGCTGCTGTGTGTGTGGGAAATGCGCGCAGTTGGTGGCAGGCAGCGGAAATGCTGATGAAATGCAAATTGCTGTTGATTTATGTCGTAAAATGGCAGCGAATGACGCGAAAAAATAGGAGAGACCGAGCGACAGAGAGTGCGAGAGAGAGAGAGAGAGAGAGAGAGAGAGAGAGGGGAGAGAGAGAGAGAGGGTGAGCAGGGCTAATCGACTGTTCCACGGGGAAATTGAATGTCGGTCATGTGCGAGGTGTGCAAGGTGGTTATATTTTCTTGCCAGCAGCGCTGCGATTGACAAATTACGTGGTCAAACTTAAACTAGGACAGAGCACAGAGAAAGGGTTTTAAAAGAGAGAGAGAGACAGAGAGAGAGAGAGAGAGAGAGAGAGAGAGAGAGAGAGAGAGAGAGAGAGAGAGAGAGAGAGAGAGCGAGAACGAGTGGTCAAGCGGGCAGAGAGCGGTGCCATGGGGAAATTGAAAAACTAAGTATTACAAGGTACAAAGTTGAAATACTATTGTGGTTGTTGGTATACCTCATCAGCAATGCGCTGGGCATCGCCAGCAACAGTAACAGCAGCAGACGCGCAGCCAGCGGCAGCAGGCGCAGTTGCCACGCCCAGCGAGGAGAGGGTCGTTGCATTTGAGGAGCTGGCATTTGAGAGCAATGAGCCGCGCGAGGATAGATGTGCGGGCGGCGGATAACGTGGCGGCGCCTTGACCATCTCAATAAAGCTATCGGGCACATCGACAGGCAGCTCGCGATGCTTCGGTGGCGGTGCCGTTGCCGTTGCCGGCAGCAGCAGCGACATGCCTGCCGTGGGAAGCTGCTGCTGACTACTCGGCTCATAGCCAGGCGGCGCCAGGCTAAGATCATCCGGAATTGTTGAGCTGCTCGTTGTCGATGGAGCGCTGGCTATGTGGCTGCTGTGGCTGCTGCTGCTGACGCTGCTGCTGCTGTGACTGTTGCTGCTGGTGTGCATGGAGCTGTTGCTGCTGCTGCGTGTGCTATTCAGGGAGTTGCTGTTGCTGTTGCTGTTGCTACTGCTGCTAATTCCCGTCAATTTGTTGGGCGTTGCAGCTGCACTGCTGCTGTTGTTGTTGTTATTGTTGCTGCTGTTGCTGTTGCCGTTGCAATTGGTCGCCGTTTGCTGCTGCTGCTGCTGCTGGCGGTGCTGCAAGTGACGATAGGCAATTGTTTCGAACGATTCGAGCGTCTGTTTGCTCAGCATATCGTCAAAAGTGCTCGACGATGGCGAGCTGGCGCCCTTGCAATAAATCCCATCCACCACGCACAGCAACTCGTCGGCCACGCTGTTGCCGTTGCCGTTGCTGTTGTGATTGTTGCTGTTGCTCACGTCCGGATTGTTGTTGCCAAATGCTGCCTGCAACTTGTAGATGGGCATTTGTTGTTGCGCTGTTTGGGCGCCTGTTGCTGTTGCTGCTGTTGTTGCTGCTGCTGTTCCTGCTGTTGCTGCCAGTTGCTGCGATTGTTGTTGCTGATCCGTTTGTAGATCGTTTTCATAGTTTTCGATTTGTTCCAATTTGGTTTGTTGTTTTTGATTGTACAAATTTTGTGTGGCCACATCGAGTGCAATTGTTGTTGTAGTTGTTGTTGTTGTTTTTGATGAGTGTAGTTGTTGTTGTTGTTGTTGTTGTAGTTGATGATGATATTGTTGTTGTTGTTCATGTTGATGTGAAGAATGATATGCAACAATTAACAATTTGTTAGCATGATCATTTTTAGTTTTAGTTGTGTTCTTGGTGATGCTGTTGGTGTTGTTGGTGTTGTTGGTGATGCTGGTGATTGTTGTGTGGTTGGTGTTGTGTTTCTATGTTTGGTGGTTGTTGGATGGTGCGTGGTGCATGGTACATGTGGACAATGTGGTGCGGTGTAAAGAAAATGCATGAAATGAGCGGTTCAGTAAGCAAGCGTGCATTCGTGTGGTTGTTGTTAGCGACTATTGTTAGTTGTTGTTAGCGGTTAGTTAGTTTTTTGAGTAGCAATGCGCATATGATTGTATCAAGCATTTGTGGTTGGTTTTTTGGGGCTTTGGGTATTTTGTTAAGCTGGGCGGTTATTGTGGGCCCTATAGAACTTTTGCTTACCTGCGGCGGACGGGGAGGCGGATATCTGGGTGGCGTCTTATTCCGTGCTATAAACGTATCGGGACAGTCGACGGCCATCTCGCGATGTGGACCTGTACGGTGTAACAAACGTTGCAATTTAAACGCCATCTAATAATAGCTATTCGGCTAGGTGTTTAGCTCTTACCGTTATCTTGATTCATCGACAGCATGGTCAGCATTTCCTGGTCAATCTCCCTAATATCACTTGAGTGCGTGCGATAATGCTGCTGCTGCTGCTGTTGCTGCTGATGATGATGCAAATGATGATGCTGGCCACTTATGTAATCATCCGGCAGACATGGCTTCAGATCATCGCCATCAATGACCACAATGCTGGAGCCAGAACGGCGACGCGGCCTTGAAAAAAAAAAACAGAGCAGAAGAGTCGGTCATGAAATTAAAACTGTGTACTTTATTAAATAGAGGGGCAACCGAGCAGGGACAAGTTCCAATTGAATTCATTAGTAGCCGAGTTTATTGTGTTGTAAATGTTCATCATGGGCAAATCTCCAACTCCCATAGCCTTACACCCAGTTCCAAAATGTGGGAGAAGAAATAAATATCGATGTTTTACCAAGTCGCAGGATCAACAATCTAAGTACCAAGACGGTTCAAATCGAAATTCCAAGTTCCGATTATTTATTTTTGCTTAAAAAGCTGGATCCTTAAAGAACTACGCGTATTATTCATCTAATATTATTGTTTGACGTAATGTATAGAACTCCGCATCAGAGACAAACATTGATCATGCCGCCCGAGCAGGGACAACTACAGGGTAAGCAAACCCAGGTGGATTAATTTTTCAGTGATAATAAAATAGAACCAGTTCGTTGCAGGGAAAAGGGCCTTAATGTTTTACAAACATTCCAACTGCCTGCTATACGTATGTGTAGAATATTTTTAAAGACAGACAAGCTTCGTCTTCTTCCTTCAGCCACACTCCTTGGGTCGATCTGGGATTTGGGATTGAAATGTTTGGATGTGCAATAAGCGCAAGGTTTTAACTGTACAAATGAGTTTTTTTTTATATGTTGGTAATGGAAAATGGTGAATATATCGAAAGAAACGATACATGGGCTTATCTTGTTCTAGATCTAAAAATATTAAAGAGCACAAGTTACTTGGATCCGAATAGAGTGGGGATTTTTAGTTCAATTTGCTGAATAAGCTCACTGGTTCATTTTCTGGTCGTGAACTAAATCGGTCATTTAGTTCACTCGTTCAGTTATTCATTCGGTCATGAACGATGAATTCTGCTAAGCTATTCAGTCGGTCATGAACTATTCTCTAAGTTCAGTTATGCAGTCGATCATAAACGATAATACATTCTGTTCAGTTATATTTCATGTTTTCAGTTGCAAAAAATATGTTATACTTTATACTTATTCTATTATTGATAATAGCTACTTACAAGTTGTAAGATTCAACTCAACAAATCAAAAGTGAGCTTAAAATTGCGCTTTCTTTTTTGTTTATTAAGAACTGAACATCTCAAAAGAGTGTGTCGTTCATGAACGGCTGAGCTGCTGAGCTGCTGAGTTGCACACATCGTTCATGAACGACTGAACGAGTATCAAGAGTGTATCGTTCATTACCGACTGAACGAGTACGGAATACAAAGTTCATGACCGAATAAATAGCTGAACGAGTGAACTAAGTGACCGATTTAGTTCACTAATCACTGAATAAGTTCAGTAGTTCAATGACCCGTTCAATCGAACTTGGTCAACCATATTTGTTGGATACCAATTTTGGATGGAATCAAATAGAAGCAATGAAAATTTTGAAAATATATGAGAAGCTAAGGCTTGAGCCAAGGCTTGAGCCCTGGTTTCTTGGATGTGGAATACCAAGTTTACCTGCAGACATTTGGTTCGATTTGTGAACCAAAACACGAACATTCTCTATTTGGCATTGTAGCCCTGATTATAACACCCTCAATTTAGCCACTATAATTGGAATTGAAATGTTTTTTAATAATTGTAGTCTTTTCCTGTCAAATGCTTGCAGCAGAAGTAGCCGAAGTGCATGTGAAAAATTTAGGATGGATCTATGGATGCAATCTGCGATTTCTGTTCAACATGCCGTCAATTTTCATTTTTTTTCATCTTTGCCACAATCTGAAGAACCAATTTCCTGGTTGCGGTCAACATTCGGCTTGTTCTCTGGCTCTGATGTTAGCTGCTGCTAGTCGCTAGCTGCATCTCAATCGGCCGCATCCCCAATTGCGAGTCAATCAGGCATCTGACGCTAACACGCGTCTCCAGAGGCACGAATCACGCATCACACATCACGTATCACGAAGCTGTGGTCCGGCTTCGGTTCATAGCTCGGCTGACTTTGGTTTCTGTCGAGGCTGCGGCAGACCATTGCTATGCTAGGTATTTCACATCTTTTTCACATCCCCTTCTTCAATTTGGTTCCTCATGCTGAGCAGGCGAGAAAAATGTTTGACCGAAAATTGGCTGAATATTTGACGGAATTCCCTTTGCAATGTTCGATAGGGGAATAGAATTTGTCTGGCTCTTAAAGCCACATTTCATGAAATATGACTAGATCTTTAAAATGTGTATTATGTTTGGTATTTATCCGTTTATGTAATGCACGCTTTTTTTGTTTATGCAATTATTTTTATATGGACGAGCGCACTTCGTTTACGGCGCAGGCCACGAAATATACGTAATGTCTCTCTGTAGTGTTTTCGCGTCATGGCTTGCATACAAAATGGGACGTATATCTAGCAGACAGCGTGACATATGATATGCACATACAGACACAATAACTGGCAGTGGCAGAAGAAGTTTTCATTATACTATGCTACAAAATTAGGCTAAAAAGAATAACTCGTAATCGGTTATCTCTAAAGTAGATTCAATTGTCCGAATGTGACCATAGTCTGCAAACAAAGTTATTTTCCAGTTAACTCCAGACAATCTACAGTATGTAATTGTAAGTAATCTAAGGGATATTTTGTTTACAACTATTAAAAAAACATCCAGTAACATCCAGACTTAAAGCAGTTGAAAACAAAGAAGACTACCTACTAAATATTGAAAGTAATACAATTTGAACTTAAACAGAGGGTTTTTCAACACTACAAGTACCTAAATATTTGGGCAGTGCTGTAAAATGGCTTGGTATTTTTTTAAAATGCAAGTTGAATCGGCACAAACTTGGTTCGATTGCCACCCATTTTGGCAATAATTTTAATTATACCCAATCTTGAAGATCGCAATCAATACTTTGATAATTTATACAAAAAGAAACCGTTCTCTCGATCTTCCACACCTGAAAATCACACAGGATATTCCGAAAAGCAAATACTGTTGCGCAGTGTTAACATTTGTATGTGAAAGATACATTTGTATGTAGATGTGTATCTTGTAGATCAAACAAAAGAAAACTTAGAATTAACCCGGAAATTTGTTGTTTATGTTAGCTTAAACTAACAAAAACAAAATGTTGACGAATGCAAGTGTTAGTGCTGCATTCACTCAAACAAATCACAGACAAGCCTTCCACTTCCACTCACCATTGCTTCAGGATGCGCATTTTGCTGCTCGTTGTTGTTGTCGTTGTTGTTGTCGTTGTTGTTGTGCGTTTGATATGCTTGATATGCCCTTATCCTGCACTCTGGCACATTTTAGTTATTTGAAGCGCTGCTTATGCAGGCGCACACATAAAAAAATAAAACACGTTAACAAAAAATGTTGCGATAAATCTGCGCATGCGCGCAATACGAAACGGGCAACAGCACACACACACACACACACAGACAGACAGACTAAAGCAATTGCATTTTCGATTGCATTTATTGTGGTTGTTGTTGTTGTTTATTGACCAAGGTATAAATTACGACAGCAGCAGCAACAACAATCAACTGTAAAAAGTTGTTTGACCAATTTCTCAGCACTTTCGAAAGAAATTTTCGCTGTTGTCGTCGTTCATTGCTTTTACGACTGCTGCCGATGCTGCCACTTCTGCTACTGCAACAGCGCACAGCTGCAGTAGCCATTGACGTTGCATGTTGACCACACACACACATACATATGTATGTATGCATGCACACAAATATCTACACACGCTCTCACAATCTCACACTTACACGGACGGACATCGCATAGTTTTTGCCACTTTTTTTTCACTTGTACAAACATTTCAATTTTAACAGCAACAAAAGCTTTGAAATATGCTCGATCTGGCAACGCTTTAGTTTACAAAACTGCACCAGTTACGGTAACTAAAGCAATTGCAAAGCGAAAGATGTACTTAGTAGATAGATAAGAAGCAGAAGAAGCGGAGAAAGATGTAGAACGACTAGAAGAATCAAGAGAGACAGCAAGATTCGCTTTGCTCTTGCTTTTTGGTTTTTGTTGTTGTTGTTGTTGATGCTTTTGGATTTTAATTACAATTTAATGAGTTCTAAGGGCTCACAGACTTAAACGCACACATAAACACACACACACACACACACATACACGCGCAATGGTCAATGCTTTTGTTGTCAATCGACCAAAAGATAACTGCGAATTGCAAAACAAAAATCATTGTCATTAGACATTTGTCATTGTGTGTGTTTTGCCGGTCTGCAAACAGTTACATTTGCTGTTGATTCTTGATTGTTGTTTGTTGCTTGTTGCTTTTACTGCGCGACGCGACAACAAAACGTTTACCTCTCTCTGCGAACAAAGTCAGCCATAGACTGAAAAACTTAAACTGCGACTGCGACTGCGAGCTGAGCTGACACAAACGAAACGCTGGCTTAAGCGCAAGCGAGTGAGCGGCGCAAGAGAGCAGCGAGCTGAGAGCGAAGAGCGGCCAAGCATGTTGTACCTGTCGGGTGCGCGGCGCAAGTGCAGCGCACTCAAAACGAGAAAAGTTTTTTTTTTTTCAGTATTAAAGGACATGGATACACACACACAAGCACACACACACACACACACAACTCACAGATATAAGAGGTGCACAAACAATGGGGTTTGGCAAATTACGCTAGCTTCAAGAGGGCACAACAAACAGAGAAGCACAAACGCTGCACAGGAATAGGAATTTCAGCAAAAGCAAAACAACAAGAAGAAGAAGAGAAGCAACAGCAACAGCAGAACGAAAAGCAGAACGTGAGGTAAAAGCAATCGAGCAAACGTGCGCTCTGAAGTTGACGCCGACGCCGACGCTGGCAGCAAAGGCAGGTACACATGCTCTTGTAAATATCCATACTTATATATGTATGTATGTACATACATACACACATTCACATGCATGTTGCTTAGCCTGTTAATGCCTTGTAGCATACAAAAGAACAAAAGGTGTGTATGTATGTACATGCATACATATATCAGCCTGTATGTGTGCCTGTG